TGGCCTGAGGGGGCAAGCGCGAGCATAAAAATTCAAAACTCCGTAAAGTCCCTTTAAGCACTGCATTTCCAGATTTCTAGTGAATAAGAATATGTTTTACACCTGCCCAGCTATATCAGAGTCGGGATTGACCAATTTATGGTAATGTTTTAAATGTTGCTGAACTAGAGAGATGTTTATTTCTTTTCAAACTAAAAACTATTTCTAGACAACTGATGTCAGTTTAAATCTGTAAAAGGGTCACCAGCAATTTATTTACTGACACAATGATTTTTTTCTCATTATCACTTTATTGCCTATAATTTACTAGTGACACATTTGTACTACTGCTGAAATGATAAAATCTGAACCTTTTATTGAACGACATGGAGAGCTTGAAGGTGCTAATTCATAACTGCAAAAGTTTTAATGGGAATAAGAGCAGCAGCTTGTAAATTTTACTGTGCAAAGAATCAGAATGGATTTGTGAAATTACTGTTTCATTTGCAAAGAAATACAAAAAAGGGGAACAAATTAGGCCAACATTGTCAGTTATATAATGGTTAGATGTGTCTGATTTGCTTAAGACTGGATATGTTATTTGCACAGTATTTATTTAAAGGGACAGTATGCCAGAATTTTACAGTGAAATTATGACAAAATAGTCTAATGTCTCAATCATATTGGAAGGATGGTTACTTTGAAACAGATTTCCTTCTCAGTCGGCTGCTTGTCAGTTTTTCTCTTTTTAAAATGGCCAAAGAGGCATAAAGAGGGTCTGTTTTACAACCTGTGAGCCTGTGGGGTTTTCCCACTCTGTGCCAGTTAACACTGCTATGCCAGCCTTTGTATTTTGACACTGAAAGAACCTAAGCCAGTTACAGGAGCGGCCCCGAAGTTATTTCTTGTATCTGTAAGAGGCCGGTAAAGAAGGCTGGAGGCTAACGTTGAGCTAACAATGCTAACAGTGAATGAAAAGCAAATTGTGAACTAAAAACATCTCTAACTTCTCTTTCAGTTACCAACAACTCAATATTACATTTAAATGTGTTCATCTACTTAGCTACTTACTGTGCAGGACTCATCTTTGCTTGTCATCAAGACTCTCCTTGTGCTGATCCGTTACTGCTAACAGCTATTGAGCTCACAGAACAGTAGTGATAATGTCACTCGTGTGTTTGGAAAATGGGCTGCAGTACCAAAATTTGACCAAAGAATGTCACCCTTACTTCATTCTTACATAATGTTCCTTTAAAGCTGCTATAGCGAATCTGCAAACAAGCTAGGTTTTGAATGCATTCATGGAACTCTTACCCCTCCCCTCGGGTATATTCAGTGGTTCCATGTTCAACAGAACCCGGGACCGACATTGCCAGAAGAACCAAGGGAGCAATAAACACCAGTCACAGTTTTCTAGGTGCAAAACTATTTTATTGCCCGTGACTTCAAACGGTGTTTTTCTTTTTTGGACTCTGATAGTTTGTCCTCAAGTTGAAGTGGTAGCAGCTGACTGTTTCTCCTTCTCTGATTTTATTGAGCTGCGAACTTCTCACATCAGTGGTGTTCATTTTCTAACCACACAAGTTTGTAATGAGTGGAGGACCCAGGGAAGAGTGGCAGTTTTACGAGATCAACAAGCCGTGTTATTGGTGGAGGTTTTTCAGAGAAATGCAAGAGCCACTTAATAAAATTTTTGCTTCTTTTTACCTCCACAATATATTTATAAGTATACTGTATTAGAAAGCTAAGAGGCATGAAAAATGTTTCAAGCTAATTTGTTATCCAAATTTGCTATAGCAGCTTTAACAAGATAAACATGAATTTGTTAACATTATCATAGAGATTTTGATACATCAGCCATGAAGGATTTTCTACTTTCTGGATAAATCAATTGTTAGCTCCAGCTGAGATTCTACTATCATGTACTTTTCAGGTCACTCATCTGTTTTGGTGGGCTGGTTCTCTGTAAAGGAAAAAGGCGAACTCATAGTGGTTTTGTTTCCCTTCAGCTAAATGATGATGAAAATCTGTGACAGTGAGCAGGTTCTCCCATTCAGATGTGGTGACAGCAGAAACCTCATGACTACCTGTGTGTCGTATGAAAAGAGAGAGCAAAGGGATAACAAAAGACTAGCTCTAATGAAGGAGAAATATGGCACACATCAGTTAGCAGAGTTGGAAAAGTTTCATTTTAGTCATTTTGGTGCCATTGAAATAAGTCTTATAAGACAGAAAAAACAGAGGATGTACATCTGATCAACCTTTTTGTCTAAAAACCAAGCCCCCACAATGTGGCTCTAAAATTGAGGCAAACGCGGAAATGAAATAAATTGCAGTTCCACCCTCATCCACTGGGGGATGGTGTCAGAAGCGAGCAAATCCTCATTGACTCCCATGTTAGAAAATACCAATTTCACAGCAGAAATAAACATGTTTACAGCCTGGTTCCAAAACATGTTTTTGGTTTAAATGATCTAGTTTACAATCATGACAACTCTGAGGGGGGTGAATTTTTTCTCACTCTTCTGTTTAAGTGTATTAAAAGCCTAAAATTCTGTATAATTAATGAGCATCAGACCCACGTGACCACAGAGCTAACTCCGTGGAAAGACCTCAGTAGAGCCTCGGTCTGGCCTGGACACTGTTCCGGGATTTTGAGTCTCTGTGTTTGTGTATTCTTTTTTGGATATTATTTGTGCAATTGTTGGACAAAATGACTTGCTGTGGCATTAATTGCACTAATAGAGCGTCCAAGGAGTCTCCACTTCATTTTTTTCGGTAAGTAAAATTAAATTGATGTATTTTAGGTCACTGCCGAGCTGAGCTTAGATTTTAACATGTACTGTTTAACCATGAAATTTAACTCTTCCCTTTTTTGGAATTGTCCGGGCTTGACGGAACCTGTGACACGGTCAAAATGGCGGTGGTGGCCACCTCCCATTTGGCCTCAAAAACGTGATATTGGAGCCTATGGAAAGGAGATGTCCAGTATATTTATGTCGGTGCTAAAGACTTGATGCATTAAAGGAGCCAAAAGCCACTATTATCTTAGAAATTGCATTGAACTTGACATAATGTGTATAATAGCAAATAATAAAATCAATGTCCAACTTTTGATACTTTTTTAAACTTCTTTGTTTTCATGAATCACTGGTACCCATGCTCTAAAGCTTGGTTTATGCTTGACACATTCACTTTCCGCTTGGTGATGCGGCTCGCGGATGGAACGCGCTTCACAACTCACAGCTTTTATGGTTCGTGCGGCTTGTCTCTGCGGTGAGCCAATATACTCCCAAACTGTAGGGGAGCTCTACGGCATGCATCCAACACTACACCATAGTAGAAGTAGAAATTACTGTTTACAACATGGCATTTCCGCATTTTTAACAGCGTTCTCGTCTTTTCCGACAGTGCGAGCTATTTCTCTCCAATAATTATTAACAACATGTTGATTACGGTGATCTCTGAGAGCTGAATCATACAAATGTCTGTATTTACGAACCTCTGCCATACTAGTTCTTGCCGGTCCGCCATGTTTTTCGGCGTCCGTCCGTCCGCATGGTTAGAAATTTTCCGAGGTGCGCGTTGCGGAAAATTTGGGCCGTGCGGAGGCACGGTGGAGGGGCGTGGTTGTTAAAATGACGCAAAATGACGCAACTTTTCCGCGTGGAGCCGTGCAGACCTCGTGGACGCGTCAAGCATAAACCAACCTTAATGCTGACGCATAGCTAAATTGCCTATTGGAAATCACTTCCCTTGGTTTAAGGAAATGTGATGAAGTGTTTCCCGCGTCAGGAGGACAAATGAACAAAAGATGTGTCATTACAATGATGAGCTACATCCTTTTGTGCAGACTGAAGATTAAATGCTTTTGCCAACACGACTTTAATCTTTACCAACAAGGCAAAGTCAAAGAAAAGTCATTAAAGCACTGCCAAAAGGAGTCTCTTGGTGACGGTGGTGGCTGCAGCATTAGAACGTTATCAACCGCAGCAATGAAAGCCTTGTAGATTAGAGAGAAAATTGCTCTGGAAAGACTGGATTATTGCTCAGAATCATAACCGCAGTATTACTTGTGTTTTTAATTTTTTTCCACTGCTGTGCCTTTTGTTTCGCGTTGTTAAATAATGTGCATTTGCCTCCAACTTTTAAAGACCTCTACGTGACCCAAATGATTTTTTTATATGTTTGAATATTTAAAACCACAATAAGAGACCACCAAGGTACGGCTTTGTGAATATAAATAGCTCATATACAGTTGCTGTTTTATTATAGTGTATAAATGACCTCCATAGCTAAATCTCCAAGCTGGAAACTAATACTACGGTACATTTCAGTTATTAGATTGTGAAAGACAAATGAAAATTTTAGAGAGGTAATTCTAAATCTTCCATTTTCAGAATCCCTTCAACCAGGTTATATCAATATAGAAGACACACATGGTTAATATATGAAGATGCATATGAATACAAATATGAAATTGTATTTTGTTTTGAGCACTCGCAAATATATGCACAAACAGATTCAATATTGTTTTTCACAGTGTGTGACATTTTATGTAAGAATGTATTTTTGGGTCCGTCGGTTCAGATTATTTTACATCTTTGAAACCACAATTTATATTTGCATTTTTTCTGCACTGAAGTTGTGGACATGGCAACATTCATAAAAGCATAGAACTGCAGCTTCTTATTCTAACTTCTAACAGAGCCGGACTTTCAGTTTTAATGTATACCTTGTGTTTTGTATGTTAATGTATTCTTTTTATCATTCAGCTTTGCATGAAGTAGATTAGAAAACACTGACACATACAGAGGTAGAAACTTTATATTTAAAAACACACACTAGAGTACAGATTCAGTTCATCCTCTTTTAAGCTTTTAAATCAGTCGTTTTGGGAATATGTCAAAACCAGATCTTACAGTGTGACTTTCTAGGACAAGGGACGTCTTGAAGGTTTTGGTTTTTTTATTGCAAAATGATTCAGGCTTGTGTGTGTGTGTGTGTGTGTGTTTTTTCAGGCTGTTCATTCAAACCAAGTTGCTGCAAAGCCCAGAAGCCTCTGGAGTTCATCCCAATAAACTTGCACACACAGAGGATGAGAGTGACGTGCCCCAAAAAAGCAGGTATTGCATGTAATGACATCAGAAGGACACTTGCAGGGCAACTTAGTTTGGTAAAACCGGAGCTGTTTGATCTGTTGTCGTACCCATCTTTGTGCGCGTGCATGCTCTAAAAGCTGCACAAATTGTTGTCTCCTTTTGTTTCTCTGTCTGATTGGCAGAAACAGTGAGAGCTGATTGTTGCCGGTCATCACACAGGTTGAAATGTGAGAATTAACTTGGCCTGGGAATTAAATAAAACACTACTTAAGCTGTGTGTGTGTGTGTGTGTGTGTGTGTGTGTGTGTGTGTGTGTGTGTGTGTGTGTGTGTGTTTTGTTTGTTTGTTTGTTTGTTTTTTTGTACAGTGCTTTATTTTGTCCCCTGTAATTCTGCTTTCCAGCAGGTCGTTGCTGAGAAAGTGATTTTTTCAGTTAGTGGACATGGAGGTATTTTAAACACTAGGTAGCTTTATTTTTGCCTAATTGGTTTTCTTTAGCAGTTCCAATAAACTGGGAACTATCTGCACATTTAAAGCACCAGTAAAGACGCTATAAAGTCTTTATGATGGCTTTAAAATAGATTGTAAAGTATAAGTGATAACCTTCAAAAAGAGTCTAAGGACTGCAGAGAGGCTTGTTAAAAATGTAGCCATGTTTTGTGAGTGACAGGGTAGCCATTCTCTTATAATTTAGCACAACCTAATTGGTTAGTAGTGTTTAAATTCATATTGTTGAATTGTTTTTGTTGTGTGTTAACAATGTAAAGCATAGCCAGATTCTCAGGCTCACATTAAACCAGCTTCAGGGGCTCCGACGTACCCATGAGCACTAAAGGCCTTTCTTTTAATATGAAAATCAGCAAATTAGTTAATTAACTGACTAATTTTAAAAGTAAACTCTGACATTTATTTTTGTATACTGTAAATCAACAAAAAGATTCCTCTTGACTTAAGACGGTCAACCCCATCATGAAAAAACAAGAAATTAAGTCTTTGTTTTAAATGAATTAAAAAGTTATCAAGCATAAATATTCAGTGTGTCGTGAATGTAAAATATGTCCACATGTTATGGTCTTTTGTTAGTCATCGCACTAGAAATAATCAAGTCCGGGTCTATTTCTCTGATATAATGTTGATATAATGGGGCAGTGGCGTTTTCGGTGTATTACCACTCCCCACCACCAGAGGCAGGAGTGAGTTGTGTTGTAGCCAGCCCATGAACTGGACAGTTAGAGAATAGTGACAGTGAAGATTTCACAATAATATAATAGGTTTGAGATAAATATTAGTAATCTATCTTTCTGATAACATTGTTTACAAAAGAAATGCACCTAAGGCAGGAAGTAAAATTAATCTGGTAGCTTCCGTCAACCCTGCCACATAGAAATACAAAGGGGACCCAGAATCTTGTCTGAAAGTTTCCTCTAACATTTATGCACTGGATGATGTCGCAGACATACGAGCTGTCTGTGTGTTCTGCTGCATTATCTGCCCGAGTCTTGTTTCTCGAGTGTCCCGTTCTGCGGTCTTCGAAAACTTACAATAACTTGCCTCGTTTGAGACTAAAGCACACAAAAGCTCAATTTTATCCACCATGGCCCAGTCCCCATACTTGCACTGCACCCTATGATCCAAAGTGAGGGTCAAGGCCTGGGTGGAGACGTATTTCCTCCACACTTCCTGTTAGGAAGACGCTTGGACCGAGAAAGCGGCACTCATCTCACCTCTGATTGGCTAACATCAAAATAACTCTACCACTGACTCCATTTACTTTGCAACACTGATGTTTTATCTCCACAAAACACATAAGCCTGGAGGAGTTTTGCCGTGTGGTGGAGTTGCTAACGCTAACAGTTGGCTTCTACTAACTGAGATATTTTTTACTGTTTCCTCTTCACTAAACCAACAACAGCCTTCTTTAAATCCTAGATTTTCACCATATATTTTCTATCAAGCTAATTCAAGAGATAGGTGTAGGAGACTATTTTCATGTTCCTACATGAGAAATTCAGAGGGCCCGATTATAATCAGAAATCATAATTTAAGAAAGGTTTTTCTTTAAAATTAACTTTACATTTTGGGTAAAAGAGGAAATGATCAAATTTTTTTATTCTAATATTGACTATTAGATTTTTCCACAAACATTCCAAATGTTTTTTTTTCCTGACCACAGGGGAAAAGTTTTCTTTTTGACTCTGCAGTCTGTAAAATCCTACTGAACAAATGATTTACTGGCATATCGTGTCCAAAATTACACACCAGCTATTTATCAACTTACATGTAATGCATCTTTCAAAAGGGAAACATTTCATTGTAATCATGTATGTACACAATAATAAAACACTAAATATTTGGATAATCATACTTTAAAATACATATTTTCCGAAATGGGAATTTGAGCCATTGTTTCGCCTTCTTCTCAGAATTCCCCCCTTTGATGTGCAGATCAAGGGTGCAAAAGGGACGAAGTCAACCTACACTTCTCGACCAGAATGAATTGACGCATTGGGATTTGGCGATGATAGTTTTGAAACTTTAGCAAAATACTTCCTGGAGATCAATAAAGTGATGCTCACAGTGCAGACTAGTGGTGTGGAGGAAAATTGTTTTTTTTCAGTTGACTTGTTCCAAAATGTCAAGAAAATATGAATTTGTGAAATTTGCATGTTAACTAAGAAAACTGCTGGAGACCAAGTAGCTCAGTGGATCCACCAGTGGCAATCAGATTACTTGACTAATATCCCTGCTGTGTCATTAAAACAGAGAGATTGTACTGTTTAAAGCTGTGCAGCTCATTAAATGAAATGTGTACCAGTCTCCTCTTGTTTTTGAGGTATGAGAGAACATTTCACCTTTTTTTCTTTAATTTAAAAATTATTTCAAATGCTCGTTGCTCTAAATAAGGAACAAAAATAGATGTTCTTCAACCCAGAATATGAATGTTTTATAAAGTGCTTGTTGTTGATTCTAATTCTAATTTAAAACATAGGTGTGGATCAGAATGTAAGCGTGCTCGATTCCTCATTCTCTCCCATTCAATGACAACAAATGCTAATAAAATCTTACAACAAAAGAAAGTGAATGCTGTTTCCTAATCTTTAACAGTGAACAATAACAAACTGTGGGCTTATCAGTTCAGGCAGCATCGCCCCTGCTGAGACATCTCTCATAGAGATTCTTCTCAGAGAAAATGTAATAAAATTGTTTTAATCCAAGAGAAAACAAGAAGAAAAGATGCCTCTTTAGTTGTTTTTTTGTTTGTTTGTTTTTGAGAGAATTGATCAGCCGTGAGGCTGTACTTAAATATGTCTAATCTAAAAGCATAGATAATGTCACCACAGAGATAAACCTCTGTGAAAAGAGGCAAAACCTGAGTTTACTCTCAAAGACACGCTGGCGTTTCTTCGTACCATCTCTGTGGTCCTCGGAGCATAAACCGGTTGCTCCTTTTTTCCATCTGATTTTGTAGAAAGTTGCATTTCCTTGAGAGCGCTGTGCAATCTACTCAGCATTGCTAAACCATTCATTTTCATTTTGTCTATTGATCATCCAGAGAGAAAAGGAAATCAGGAAAAACAGCCCTTCAAGCTCTGAACAGAATTCATTTGTTTCACTGTGAGTGGCTTCCCACCATCTCCAAAACGACAGCTGTCAGACGTTTCTCTCCTCCAAACACTCACTCTGGTTAAACGGGGCTGAGAGTGTTGTTGAGCGGGTTGTTTTGTGTTTAATAAGGATCGTTGTGTGTGAATTACAACCTCTCGTTTTGATTGCCACAATCAGTTTGCTCTTTACGAAAGCATCTGTCTTCTCAGATTTTTGTTTTTTGCAACCTTGCTCTGCTGCTGATTAAATAAGAAACAGATTTTTACTTTTAAAGTGAGAGGAAGAGCTGCAAATCAAGCTCTAATTTGTCTATGTGCCTTATGTTCTGGAGCCCATTGGTGTTCTACCATGTGCAGCTGATGGTGAAGAGCCAATTAAGGAAACCTACATACCTGAAAAGACCGGGGCCCAGATGTGCTGCAATTAGGCAGCCTTCCGACCAAACGCAGGGATAGTTGGTGGGCGAAACTCGGGACACCTTAACCCCAAAGTCCCAATGTGAGACAGTTGGTGTGTTGTGCACACTTACTCCTCTGTGAAAAGGACTGGAGCTGCTGAGCCCGTAATTTGAATTTTAGTCAACATTTATGGGTTTTTTACTGTCAAAGCTGTTATTTATTCATTTATTTAGCTTTCTTGTGATATTTTAGTTTCTATAGTTTCTGACTTTGCTCCTTTTTACTGTAGAACTGTACCTATTTACAGTCCTCAAACGCACGCACGCAGGCACACACACACACAAACACACAAACACGCACACACACACACAAACACACAAACACGCACACAGCCCTTTTCGTGTTTTCTGATTTAATTGGGACTTTCGACCATTATTCATTCAAAACAAGGTCTGCTCTATAGCACCTCGGTGTCATCCAAGCCGTCTGAGGAGTCTTTCTTTGAATTTGAGGCCGATGTGAAAAATTGGAGCAAGGCACTGTGACATTGGCCGTCCTCCTGGTGCAAGAGACTGGTACAACCTAAAGTGATTACTAAGATTTGTTGAAGTGGATTTCTGTGGAAAAAAATTCTCAGAAATTACCTGTTGTAGAAAGCTCTTTGAACAGCTCCAGTTTAAAGAAACAGCAATTGGTTTTCAACTGGATTGACGAGCTAATGACTAGTCACAGTGCCAGGATTAAAGTAGATTACTACCATTGTAAAAACTCAAATCTCACACTCTTGATAGTAATTCATGTTAAAGATGTGGTTCACTTGTTAATCATTACATTTGCAAAGGTCTCTAGTAGGAATGAGTGCCTTGTAAGTTGTACTAAGAATACAAAAAGTCCTGATGCACCTGTTTTGGGATCTAGAATACAGTATTGCCAGATTGGAGGAGAGCTTCAGACAACAGGATCTGGAGTCTTATTTCCTGATATTTTGACATCTCCCCTCTGATTGGCTAACAGCAATGTAACTCTACTGCTGACTAATATTTTGCAACGTTGATGTTTTATCTCCACAAAAAACACAAGCTTGGAGGAGTTTTGCCATGTGGTGGAGTTGCTAATGCTAACAGTTAGCTTCTACTGGCTGAGACACTCTCTGCTGATTCCTGGATGCTAAAACAACAACAAACTCTCCCCGTCACAAGTCAAGATGGGTGAGTCCACGAATCTTAAGTGACAGTGTGATGTCCTTCTGTCAGGTTTTTCAAATCCTAGAGTGTCATCGTCCAATCTCAAGCTAATGCAGGGCATAGGTGTATGGGACTGTTTTCATGTTCAGCCTGTATGAAAAACTCAAGAGTGACTGCTCCTGATCAGAAATGATCATTTAAAATGGGTTTTCAGTGAACCACACCATTAATACTATTTTCAAACAGTTTGATTGATACAGTTTTTTTTACAACAATATTATAATAAATGCACTGAAGTTAAAGTCCCAGAGTCATCATCACACACTGATGAAATTCATCTCCACATTTACCCAGCCTCATGGAGTGGAGCAGTGAGCTGCAGCGGTTGCTGCGCTCTGTAACGATCAAACCCTTAAAGCTGAGTGTCAAGCAGAGAGGCACTGGGTCCCATTTTTGAAGTCTTTGGTATGACCCAAAACGAACCCCGATCTCCCAGTCCCAGGGTGGACACTCTACCATTATATCACAGGAAACCTTGAGTCAGTGCTAGCACTAGAAGTGCTAAAGCTAGCTGCTGCTGCAGTTAACCACTACAGCTTTGTAAACAACCAAGACATGTAAACTTGAAAGTGGTGTTACGCTTTATAATAGTAGCATATATGAACTACATAGTATTTTTGCTTAAAAGTCTAAAATGGCCCCAGTTGGACTAGCAATTAGCTTGTCATTCATGTCCACTAATCTCCAAACTGAGGACATTTAAAGAGCTATTTACAACAGATAAGATAAAAGCAATTCAAAAGATCTGAATTATCACAAAAACTCAACCTTGTAGGAGGAGAGTGATAAAAACCTAATTTCTAGCCCGTCTGCCTTTTTCCCAAGGTACCGTGGTTTTTCTTTTTTTGTTTTGTTGTTTTATACTGGAAGGTACTTCAAATTTTTGACCACTTCACATCACCATGACATTTAGATAGCTTGTTCACAATTTTAAATTGATATTTGGACACCATTTGAAAGGGAAAACCTTGTTATTAGAGATACAATTTAGTTCCTGGTTCTCGAGGACATTCAAAAATACTGTTTTCCCTGTTTTGCAGATGCTTTCTATGACATTGTCACTGTCGGTGCACCAGCAGCTCACTTCCAGGGCTTCAAGTGTGGTGGTCTGCAGCGTCTCCTGAGCAGATATGAATCAGACAAAAAGAGGTATTTTTTTCACTTCTAGGACAGATAGATGGATGGATGGATGGATGGATGGATGGATAGATAGATAGATAGATAGATAGATAGATAGATAGATAGATAGATAGATAGATAGATAGATAGATAGATAGATAGATAGATAGATAGATAGATAGATAGATAGATAGATAGATAGATAGATAGATAGATAGATAGATAGATAGATAGATAGATAGATAGATAGATAGAGAGAGAGAGAGAGAGAGAGAGAGAGAGAGAGAGATAGATAGATAGATAGATAGATAGATAGATAGATAGATAGATAGATAGATAGATAGATAGATATAGATAGATATGGATGGATGGATGGATGGATGGATGGATGGATGGATGGATGGATGGATAGATGATGGATGGATAGATGGATAGATGGATAGATAGATGATGGACGGACAGACAGATGTTGTAAATTTGCATTCAACAGTCATCTGTATTTTAAATAATGTGTGGGTGACCTTGCAGAGGACACATCCTGAGGACTGAGGCGTGTATTGAAAAGAAATTAAATTTCCTAATTAAAAGTGACAGGTAAATTTATATCTGGCCCATGGACCTGCTTTACCAGGTCTGGGATGATTATTTAAGTCGACTCCATGTTGAAATTAGAGCAGAGCTGTGCTGCCTTTGACAGCTTAATTTGACTGGAGGCAGCAGGCATGATGGAAAAGGTTTGTTGAGTCAGACGTTCCTCTGCACCTATTCTTTTCCTCGACAAGCATTCTGCCTTCTGAGCTCCTGTGTCCGACTTCCAGTGAAGAACCACATATCTTGAAACAACCTCCCAGCTGCCACCTGGGGCTTTCATTGGTTCTTTGCTGTAAAAACGTTCCAGCCTTTTCCCGGTGTTGAAATGTGGCTCATCCTGGATGCAAGCTGCTGAAAAAAGCTTCCTTCATTGGGTGTTGGGGTCAGAGGTTAGAAGCTCGGTAAGGAGAGCTTAGAGTAGATGTACTCTTTATCTACATGGAAAAGACAGTTGAGGTGTTTCGGGCTTGGTTGCTTTTCTCTGGAGGTTTGTGCCCCTCAAGGAGGAGACCCTAGGGTAGAACCAGAAGTCACTGAAGGGATTATTTTTTCCTCTCTGAAAAAACTGGGCTTAATAAGTCTTTGGGATTCCCCATGAGCAGCTGGTGAATGTTGCAGATGAGAACAGGGATTGGATATCTTTCCTTAACCCATTACCTTCACAGCCCGGCCCAGAAAAAGAAGAATTTGAAACAGTGGATGGATGGATGGATGGATGGTGGGTTTTTGTATCAACTTTGGTAACACAATAAGTTATGGTGGACTGATTGATAGTTTATGTGATTCATTATTTTGATGTCTTCCTTTTTTAATATTCCATATTGGTCACACCTGAGGACAATCAGCCAATGAAAAGATGGACAGTACTTTTGCGTTTGACATGATGTCACTTATGGCAACTGGGGTGTCTTTGAAAGAAAGTGGTATTAATAGTGATTTATTTTCCACCTTTAAGAACAGGAAACAGCACTTTTAGAAAGAAAATATAGACACTTAACATTCAGAAGTTCATTATCATCAAGCCTTTAAAAAAACCCTGACAGATATAAGAATGTGTTGACTCTTATGTCTTATAAATCTAAATACTACCCTAGAAATCTAGACAAACCATTGCAGTAGCAAATATTTTGCTCTACAGGTTAGTCTAGCCATGCTCCATTGTAGCCTCCACAAGTCTAGCATTAGCTCAGCTAACTTTAGAACAGGCCAATCATAGCTCTCTGTGTTTATAGAGAAGTATTGGGCGGGCTTAGCACCATTAAGGCAGAACTACGACAGAGAAAAATTACAAAGATTGCGTCGGCTCAGGAACAGCATGATGTATGGCACTCTGCCCTGTTGACCCATTTTTGTGGCTATGAATATGTCACATTGTTCGCTGCTGTAACGGAACGGAATGACGGTTTTTCCCTTCTTTGCTCAAGACTAGTCTGCATGAGATAGTGGTCTCAAGGTGTCATGCATTCCTTCTAACCTGCTTATTTTCAGCTCAACAGAAGAACGAAGAATGAACTATTTTCTTTTAATTAATCAAAGAACTCTATTTTAATAAAGCTAATCCATCAAAGTGTTAGTCAATAAATAAGATGTGACCGATCTGTGAAATCAAAATATCAATTACCTTATTATAATCCTATAGAATATAAAGGTACTGTGACTTTGTGTTCCAACAGGACTCATTTCACGTAGTGTTAAAGACATAACACATTCCTTTCACTGATCCAATCAGAATCTTACAGATCTGACGGAGGCGTGGTTCTGATGGTGTTTGGTAATTTTTCATTCGACAATAAATCATAACATCTGAAGTATAAAACTACGCCACGTCAGCTTTAACGCCAGTTCAAAGCGTTCCAGAGAAAGTGACAGAGTGGCCAATCCTGATCTCAACTCTTTAACCGAAAGAACAATGACAAGCTGAAAAATGTGTCGCTATTCCAACAGCGACAACAGTTCCTTTCAGAATAAAGCTGAACCATCCAGACCAGGGGTCTCACCAGACGCCAGTAACTTGTCGTGTACCCAGAAGTAACTCAAAGACGGGTCTGATCGGAAACGCGGCTTTTCCTACCGGCTCGGTTCCAGAGAGGGTCCACTGGACCTCGATATTCCTGATCTACAGAGGACTTCCACGAAGGGTAGGTAGACCAGCATGATGATGTCTCATGTGTTTCTGAACTTCCGAACCAAAGCTTAATGCGAAAACAACACCTTCAGTTCCCGTCAGAACAATCGCTTCTTCAGATTTGTTGGTTCTGATTTGACATAATCCGTTTTAGTTACACTATACATTTAGTTTTAAAGTCAGTCTAGTTTAATTTGTTAGTAATAAAATTCTTAAGCAACCACAGATTCTGCCTTCACAACAAACTCTGTCTATGGGTCGGGGCCAGATTATATATTTACATATATAGGATGACTTGTCAGACCAGGGTAGGCAGTCCTGGTCCTCGATTGCATCCATCCATCATGTTTTAGTTGTTTCCCTGCTTCGACACACCATGATTTAAAACAATAGGAGATGAACAGGCTTCTACAAAGCTCAGAAACCTGGTGAACAGGTGATTCAACCATTGAATTATGTGAGTTGGAGCAGGAAAACAACTCAAACATGCAGGATAGTGGCAGCACTCAGGGACCAGAATTCCTCCTGGCATAGAGATACAGTATGCATGAATCACAGTCAATTAACATTATTTTGTTCTCCAAATGTTGTGAATTGCATATATATTTGTGTGTGTGTGTGTGTGTGTGTGTGTGTATGTGTGTGTGTGTGTGCCAACAGCACACTAACAAAAAAGCTTCATTAATCAGCCACTGGCTGCCCTGACTTTCAAAAATCAACATCAGGAAAGAAAAGTTTGAACAAAAAAAGTTCCCTAGACAAAAACAAATTATTCACAAAAGTTTTTTTAACTGTCTAATTGCCTTTTATCCTGAATGATGCCATGGATGACTGAGAGTTGTTAAGAGCACATCGGAGATCCCAAAACCAGCCAACAACTCTGTAACTATCTGACAGAGGTGTGAGCAAGTCTCTTCTTTGCAATTCACAAGTAAGTCACAAGTCTTTCCAGTCAAGTCTCCAGTCAAGTTCAAGTCAAAGATAACCAAGTCCAAGTCGAGCCCAAAGTCAATGATGTGGAAGTCCAAGTCAAGTCCAAGCCCTTACAGGTGCTGGCCAGTAAATTAGAATATCATCAAAAGGTTGAAAATATTTCAGTAATTCCATTCAAAACGTGAAACTTGTACATTATATTCATGCAATGCACACAGACCAATGTATTTCCGATGTTTATTACGTTTAATTTTGATATTTATAGGTGACAACCAATGAAAACATCAAATCTGGTATCTCAGAAAATTAGAATATTCTAAAGGCCAATGAAAAAATGTTTGTTTCTCTAATGTTGGCCAACTGAAAAGAATGAACATGAAAAGAATGTGCATGTATAGCACTCAATACTTAGTCGGGGCTCCTTTTGCCTCAATAACTGCAGTAATGCGGCGTGGCATGGACTCGATCAGTCTGTGGCACTGCTCAGGTGTTATGAGAGCCCAGGTTGCTCTGATAGTCGTCTTCAGCTCCTCTGCATTGTTGGGTCTAGCGTATTGCATCCTCCGCTTCACAATACCCCATAGATTTTCTATGGGGTTAAGGTCAGGCGAGTTTGCTGGCCAATCAAGGACAGGGATACCATGGTCCTTGAACCAGGTGCTGGTGGTTTTGGCACTGTGTGCAGGTGCCAAGTCCTGTTGAAAGGTGAAGTCTGCATCCCCATAAAGTTGGTCAGCAGCAGGAAGCATGAAGTGCTCTAAAACTTCCTGGTAGACGGCTGCATTGACCCTGGACCTCAGGAAACAGAGTGGGCCAACACCGGCAGATGACATGGCACCCCACACCATCACTGACGGTGGAAACTTTACACTGGACCTCATGCAACGTGGATTCTGTGCTTCTCCGCTCTTCCTCCAGACTCTGGGTCCTTGATTTCCAAAGGAAATGCAGAACTTGCTTTCATCAGAAAACATAACTTTGGACCACTCAGCATCAGTCCAGTCCTTTTTGTCCTTGGCCCAGGCGAGACGCTTCTTGCGCTGTTTCATGTTAAAGAGTGGCTTGACACACGGAATGCGACACCTGAATCCCATGTCTTTCATGAGTCTCCTCGTGGTGGTTCTTGAAGCGCTGACTCCAGCTGCAGTCCACTCTGTGTGGATCTCCCCCACATTTTTGAATGGGTTTGTCGTCACAATTCTCTGCAGGGTGCGGTTATCCCTAGAGCTTGTACACTTTTTTCTACCACATTTTTTCCGTCCCTTCGCCTGTCTGTTAATGTGCTTGGACACAGAGCTCTGCGAACAGCCAGCTTCTTTAGCAATCACCTTTTGTGTCTTGCCCTCCTTGTGCAAGGTGTCAATGATTGTCTTTTGGACAG